GCTCGGTATGTCCCTGCTCATGGCAGGGGGTTGGACTAGGTGGCCTTGCAAGGTCCCTTCCCACCCAAAGATTCTATGATTCTATGGTTCTGTGTGCACAAGTAGGAGATCCTGCAGACCCCAAAGAGACCCTGTGCACTTGTAACATAGGTTACTTGCACGTAGGTTGGCTTGTGTGTGTACAGGAACAGAACTTCCTGGGATTAGTTGTAGAAAGGCATTTAGAAATTTGCAAGTATTTATTAACATCAAAGTATTTAGTGTTGAGGTGTATCTGTCGTACTGCTGACACTCAGCCTGAACATACAGTTCACTGACTGCCAGTTTACTACTTGTCGTTAATAAAAACCAATCAACAGCTTTGATCCCGATATGGTTTAAACTATGGGAACTGATGAGTATTTCCCTGCAAAATATGTTATTGAACTGGTGGAAACACTTTTTTAAATTAACAATTACTAAAGAAGCAATGCCAGGAACTGACCTTGCTAGGTACATCTTATCTGTCAGCTTAGAAGGGATAGCTCTACTTACTGATACTGATCCCTACAAGAGAAAAAATGGAAGATGAGAAGTACATGAAAAAGCTGAAGAGAACCCCAGTAAACTACGCAACACAAGATACCGCCCCAGGCACTGTGAATAAGAAAAGTTCAATCTGGAAAAAAGGATATATCCTTGCCAGTTTCATTTTCTACCACAACGTCCTCCATAGATTCAAAGTACTGGCTCCAAAGCACTGGCGAAAAATCACGCTTTCTTCCAGGGCTGCAAGACAAAAAGTTTCCGTAAGAAAGAGGTGTTTTTAAAATCTTTCATTTAAATTGGCATACAGGTGTCATTACATACACTGAAGAGAACACGCCAGTCTTACACAACAGTTTAGGACCGGCAGCAAACAATGCATTAATGAAATTCCCATACAACTACAATATAAGCAATTTTGCGGTCAGTAAGGAAAGCTTCCCTTTTTCCCCCCTCTAATTGTTGCTTCTGTTGAGGAGCTCACAAAGATGCACAGGAAAACTAGTGGAGAGACAGAGAGAAGAGTATTTTCCTTGTAAAGCAATACCAAGGAAGACTGAACAATGGTGATTCAGACTACACAGACCTAAGCCAAGGGAAAAGAAAAAGAACAGAGCACGCAGTGATACTGTCCCAGTACAGTCTCCCAATTTGCAATGACCCACAGATCAGGCGCTTCAAAAGTCAGAGTCAGAAGTCATTAAATACCTTTGTATTTAATGGTCTTGCTCTAACCTTAAGGCAAGACTGATGCTGACATGACTGGGAGCACTCCGGTGCCTGGAACGCAGGAAGCCATCCCCAATTTATGACTCAGTCCCTGAATCATAATTAAAAAAAAAGAATATGTCCCTCTCAGAAGTCACCTTGACACCACAGTATTGAAAAGCAGAGTGTCAGCTATTTACTGAAGGTTGCTAATTTACCATGTACTACTTGTCAGGAGATTACACCTTTCCTAGACATCTCCTCTAATCTTTGGAAGAAATATCATTCAAACAGAAAGTCAACCTGCCCCTATGGCTGAGTGGCTGGTAGAAAAACTATGGAAAGAATTGAACAGCATGGTATATAGAAGAAACTTAGAAACACTGTTGGGAGCAGAATAAATAAAATCTACTAGGTTTAAGCTAACAGCGGCAAGTTTTAATTTCAGCTCAAGTTTCCTGGAATTTGCTGCAATGGTTAAAACTTTAACATATTTGTAAACAGATCCAGTATTTAAATACTGTATGTAGGGCAACATCGGGACTGTGAAGGAAAAGAACAAGACTAAATGAATTCAGTCTGTGCTTCCATATCTATCCTGCCTCAGTTAAGGACGACAAGAACAGCATTGCAATAAAACACTAAACACTCCTCAAGCTGCCGCCTTCTGTATCCTTAGAGCTACACAGGCAACTGTCTGTGATCCTGAAAATATCCTATAATAAAACCTTTTTGTTAGGAAGGATGCTATCAAGTCCAGCAATGCAAGTAAAAGATAACGTGTCCAAAAGGCTACAGTTATTAAAAAAAAAAAAACAGTAGTACCTGTAAAAGTTGTATTTTAAATTAAGGATCATAAGAACAGGATTGCGTAACACAGATGCCAGCAAAATACTTCCACGTGAGGATGGGCTTTCAGGCTCCAGTTTGCTCCAGGCTTTGCACTTATTCCCAGGTTGCTCTAATTCCTTTAGAAGTCATAATCTACCCATACTGAAACACTGCTTTACCATCATAAAAGAAAAAGCCAAACCAGGAAGGTAAAAGCTGGCCAAACGCAGCCACTGGAGACTGCTGGATGCCCAATTCTGTCCAGCACAAACTAGGGAACTAGGGCCCAGAAGCAAGATTTCTTTTTCTATCACATCGTTTGCCAAGTACTGATGAACGAGCACTGCACGGGCAAGACAATTTTAACAGTGGACACCGGGGGAAAAGAAGGTGCTTTGGAGATGGACCAAAACTATTGGGTTAAAAGAGGACTCGGTGCGATGAAAGATTTGGACATCGGTGGTACCTGTGGACTGCTTCGTGTCTCGTAACCACTTCTACCTGGAGAGGTTTCCTCTTTTCGTATAAGCTGGCATCTTCCCACCAGTGCTCCGCACGCCCAGGGAATAATTCCTGAGCAGAGGCAGTAAAGCAGAGCCTGGTTTTCCCAGTAACACATTTCCAAAAGGTGAATCACAGTCATTATTCCCCATAAGCAGCGAGATTCATCTCCTCTTCATAGTAAGGCTAATTTCTGCCGCAGTTGCTTGGCAGGTACATCGCAAAGCACTGCAACAAATTATGCCTTAAATTAGCTGCTCCTGTAGTACTAATGTCAGGTTGTATCCAGCACCTTAGGGAATGCAATTCCCCTAAATTATGGGGTGAATGCAGAAGACCTGTTCTGCAAACATCACATAAATCAGGTGTCCAGTTGACAAACCAATTTATTTTTTCCTTCCATCAAAAGGTCCAGCTGTGCCCTCTCCTTGTAGCCCCACTACTAACAAAAGCCTCCACAATCAGAATTTTCCTGATGACTCAGTTGATGCAAAATCTGTTTCTCCGTCTGATATTCACTCAGTAAGGCTAAAAGAGTAGTGCTTAATTTTGGCAGTGACATAATTAGGCTAGATTTGAGCCCAGTATACAGCATGAGTAACAGTGCACAATTTTAACAGGCTTTTTGCACTTCAACTCTTCTGGGGGAGGCGATCAGCACAGAATATTAAAATCAAGCATGGGCGTGGGGGGTGAAAGACCTTCACAGAAGAAAAATCTCTGTGAAGGAAGTTTCTCCTGAATTCTTGGCTTCCTAAAGAAACAGAATAGACAAAGCAGCTTTTCAATTTTGTAGAAACGAAACTCCTATTTCCCCTGATATTTCTAGAATATGAAACGTAAAACAACCACCCCCGAATGGTCCAAATTCACTTCTGTGGGCTTCCAGATTTCAGTACTGCTCTTGTTAAATTTCAATTAAATAAAATGAGATGTCACACACCCACGTAAATCCAGAAAATATTAATCTCTTTTACCACCTCAACTTAATCTCATTCTCTGATTAAAGAAAAAGTATCACATTCAAACCTTAGCCTTTCAAAGAACGCTGCAGATCAGGAAGAACAGAGCAATACAGGAACAAGATGACAAGTTGTCATATTATTGGGAAGAACCCAGGACACCTCCATAGGTGTCCAAGTATCCAAGGAAGGGAGACGTTTGCTGCGACACCATGACATCCTGCTAGGAAAAACATAAACCCAAAAACTCCCAGTTCAGGTCAAGATTCAAAAAAACCCAACTAATGCTGAATTTCATAAGGAAGAATTTGGTATGAAACACAGGAAACTTGTATTAGTAATAAGAGCTTTGTGGTACTCGACTTGTAATTGGTTTATCTTCTAGGAGCACAAGAATCTGTATGAAGAGAGACAGCAAAGGTTCACCCAGCTCTGTACCGTGTCATCAAGAGATGCCAGCACAGCAAGCGCTTTGGAAAGGGTTAAGTAGGGAACAGGGTATGACCTCCAAATTTTCACTACAAGCAGGATGGGGATCTCCAGAGGCTTCATGCTCAGCACCGTGTTGCGTTAAGGGAGGACAGCTTCCGCTAGCCTGTCACGTAAAATACGAGTCTCTTCCAGCCAGAGCTACTTCCACATCATCTGTGACAACGGTGCCACGACTTAATTAGCCTTTGACCAAAAGGATTACTTCTGTTTGCTTTTAAGCCCAAACTGTGATAATGTTTCCCTGTTCTTCTCCACAATATTAATGACTGTACACACCCCTATTGTATTCCCCTTGCCTGGGCCACGTATTTTTCAAGCTGAGAGTCCTACTCTATTGACTACCTCTTTGCCTGGAAGCCATCCCAGCCCCGATCACGCGCTCGCTCTCGCTGTACCATTTCTGGTTCTTTCTGGAGATGGAGAGAACTACCCGCAGCTTGGATGATTTCCCTTCTCTGGTCTTTGAACAGGTAGGATGTGCAGTTAGCAGCAACAAATTTCATTACCCTTTCAAAATGCAGCATTTCAATGCAGTCAGACTTTCCCACAGCATGTTACGGCTGGTTTTAGGTTTGATTGTCCTGAGTAATTCCAGGTGATGAGCAAATATTGTCATCTGCCTGGCTACACTCCTTCCAACATAATCCATAAATTGGGTAAACATCAGGAACTCCCTGGTAACCTCCCCTATACTGTGAGACAAGAAAGTTTGTAAGGGGACTCCCTTACCCATAAGGGAGGCAGAACCTGGGGAAACCCTGGAACAAGTTGTTGATTAATTGTATCACACCAGATGAACAGTTTTGACAAATTAATCCACTTTTTCGTCTACCTGGATTTCTGTAAGGCCTTTGACATGGTCCCCCACAACATCCTTCTCTCTAAATTGGAGACAGATGGATTCGATGGGTGGTCTGTTGAGTGGATGAGGAACTGGTTGGATGGTCACATCCAGATGGTAGTGGTCAATGGCTCAATGTCCAGATGGAGATCAGTGACGAGTGGTGTCCCTCAGGGGCCTGTACTGGGATCAGCGCTCTTCAATATCCTCATCAATGACATAATGCGATCAAAGGCCCCTCAGCAAGTTTGCACCTGACACCAAGCTGAGTGGTGCGGTTGACAC